TTTTTTTTTTGTGTGTGTGTGTGTGTGTGTGTGCGCGCATGGTCCATGCATGTGTAGATTTCTTAATGCTATTACCTAATGTGTTCGAAAATCTTTGGGAAGCAGGGCCACCAGGAGCTAATTTATTTATTTACCACATGCCTCAAGAGTTTGCAGATGAGGACCTTGCGAATGCCTTTCAGCGTTTTGGTAGGGTATTGAGTGCTAAGGTTTTTGTTGACAAAGCAACTGGCGTCAGCAAATGTTTCGGTATACCACAAACGAAACACTCTTTAGTTACTAGCTAGTAACCTGTTGGAATTGCTGTTATTTTTATTTATTATTTTTTTTTTTTGGCCTTCTAATTATCAAATAATTGCAGGTTTTGTCAGTTACGATTCACCAGTTGCAGCACAAAATGCAGTCAATGCTATGAATGGCTTCCAGTTAGGTGGCAAAAAGTTGAAGGTTCAACTTAAAAGAGACAATAATAAACTAAATAAACCTTTCTAACTTGTTGAAGTAACGAATGAATGCTCACACGAAATCTCAAACCTTTGGCAAAAAAAAGCACAAGAAATAATCCTGCAGTTTGAGCCGATTATGAGGGTGGATATGAAAATTCGTGTTCGATTTCCATCCTCGTGGGACAAAGTCCCGCTAAGCTGCAACTGTTCGTTGATTCATTGATGCTGTACTTGTAGATTGTAAAAACTGTACCACTTTAGATACTCATTTATTTATTGGTTAGTTGATTCTTATTCAAATGTGTATTTTGTTGGAAAAATCAGTTATAAACTTGGGTTTCACCCAGTTTTGGCTGAATTTTTTTATGGTTAAATATTTAATTAGGGTTGAACTAAATTGTGTAGAAAAATTTTATGTTCTGAGTAGATACTCGTGGTATATTTATTTTCTCAAAATTGATTTTCGAAAGTGAGAAATGAATGATTAAAGTTAGCCATAAATAGACATGTAAATGGACACGCAAAATGATGAGAAAAATCGACCACTGAAAATGCCACCCCGACCATAATAGGAAATTTGTGCAAAAATGAATAAAGCTCAAACATGAAAGATTCATGAACGAAGCTCTCAAGCAATTAATGAAGTTTAGGTACAAAGTTGTAACCTAGGGTCTACAATCCTGCCTATATATAATTCCCGAATGCGCTGAGCCTACGTGGCTGTTTCTGGTGTTTCGGAATCCTATTTGGCGAAAAATCATGTTTCGTAATTAGGTTTGAACAAATAATATTAATATATTAATAATTAATAATCTAGGTTCGGGTATTCCATAAATATTATTTAGCTAACTTAGGTATTTTGATATCAATTTTACTAATATAACCCTTTAATTATTTGTAATTTTACATAGTGAGGCACTAAGTGACTAATATATCCCTAAATTTTGATTTGCTTCCTTGAATAAGCTATTGAATTATAAATGTATTTTAAAAGTAGATAACTTTTGTATTTCTTATCGGTTTTACATATATAATATATCAAATTAATCATCTTTTGATGATCTTCGATTTGACATCCATGTTGTATATATAAAATAAATAAATTATATTTATCTTTATAATAATAAAAAATAATAATATTTATTAAAATTCATTAGAAAAATAAAATTATTTCTCAATTGATATATTTATATTTAATGTAGTTATATATTGTAAGTTAAAAAATTAGTATAATATAACACAAATAAGTCGCACAAATAAAAAGTATCATAATAAATATATAATATATATATAGGGATTGGATCCAATGAGTACACATATTTAAAGTGTGAATGTGAGACCCATTCCTATCCATTAGATTGGTACATTATGTGTGGCTAAGATTAACTCTTCAATTAAATAATAATTCTTTATTTTTATTACTTATTTCTTTATTTTATTATTTTAATTATTTAAATATTATTTTGACAATTGACCATTGACTCGGCGTTGACCGTTGACTCCGGCGTTGACCGTTGACTTACGGCGTTGACTTCCGACGAAAATCGTTGACTTCCGGTGTTGACCGTTGACTTCCGGCGTTGACCGTTGACTTCCGGCGTTGACTTTCAACATTGACCTTTGACCCTTAGC